TCCAGCCGCGGCCAGGCGGGGCGAGGGGCACAACGCACGGCGGGCGGCCTGGCGGGGCTGGAGTAAGAGTTAGCTGCAACCCCTCCCTGCCCCGTGGTGTGGAGCGAGGCTGGACGGAGCTTCTGCCCCGTAATCCCAGGTGGAGTAAGAGTTAGCTGCAACCCCTCCCTGCCCCGTGGTGTGGAGCGAGGCTGGACGGAGCTTCTGCCCCGCTAATCCCAGGCAGGCTGGCGCTGCTCCCAGCCAGAAGCCCAGCGGCCAGCACGAGCCCCCTAATCCCTGCCCGCTGGGGCTCACCCGGAGCCGGAGGTGCCTGCGTACGCTGCAGCCAAGCCCAGGGGCCGGCGCTCCAGCTGCACTGCCTAGCCCAGCTCCGGCCTGTGGGATCCGGTTCCGGAGCCTGGTGCAGGAAACCAGCCTGAAAACAAACCTCCAAGCCCAGGCAAGGCCCCCCTTAGCCCTCTTGCTGCAGGGCCTGGTGGGACAGCGGCACAAACTGCGTGCCCCTGCCACAGGGTCCTGTCACCCCCCTTTTGGGTCTCTGGGCCCAGAGGCATCAATGCACCGTGGTCACCGGATGTGGAGCCAGGACCCGACCCTGGTTCCCCCAATGGAAATCCGGCAGCGCTCCCCTGGCCAGCTCAGGATTCATGGCCTGATGTGCGAGACCAGAATCCGTCCCGGGTTTCACGGGGCGACGGGAGGGGCGCTCACGGTGGCCACGGGCAGGACCTGTCCCATGGTGACCGGTCATTCATTGCCACAGCTTGCCTACGGGTTCCATGCAACCAGCACACCGGAGACACCGACAGAGCCAACCAGGTGGTTCACCCCCCGCCCGGAGGCCTGGTGGCAGCATGGGGATCCCACAGATCTGCACACCCTACGCTTACCTTGGAAGGACAGCCTGAGCCTGGGGTGGGGGCCGTCCATCCTGCCCCGTGCGCCCAGGAGCGAGAGCAGCAGCAGCAGCAGCGTGGGCACCATGGTCACTTTCCCGGCTCGGCGGCGGCTGGGCGGGGGGCTGGACTCTGAGCCGCAGACAGCTGGAATGGGAGAGGAGCGAAGGAGACAGTGAGCTCAGATTACAGCCCCCTCCCCAGGGCGAGGGGGAGGGCGATTTCAGAGTCCGCCTCAGGGGAGGAGGAATGACCCTTGGCAAGACACACATTGCTCCTGCACTCCCTGGAGTGGGGCAGGTGGCTGGGAGGGGCTTGGGTCAGATCCCACCAACCCTGGCAGTGGCAGAACCCCACGGAAGCCAACAGCCCGAGGGGTCTCTGCTCCAGCTGGGGGG